AAACACAAACGCGCAGTGGCAACACTGTACGAAAAAAAAAAACTTTTTATCTTCAACGCGCCTGACTGTATCGGAAATTCTAAAAATGTGTTGTTTTTAATTATTTTGCGATATTGCTCTTGAACTGTATTTTATCGTTTAAGTGCGAATAACATGATATTTAATAAATAAAGGTAACACAAAAAGGTTAAAAAAATCCCATTAGGGCATAATACAAAATCTGAAATCTTTCAGATTATTTTTAATTTAGTTTTATTATTATTATTATTTGTTTAACTACCATATCAATACAGGTAAAACATGACTGTTGCAATAGGAAAAACTCTTACGTCGTTTTTGCAGCACGCTTCTTTTCTGGAGTACCGACATTTAGCCGTTCGCATACTTTCACACTATTAAACACATTTGCATCTTCGGTTTTTTTCAATTCTATTGAGTAATTGCTGGATAATTAGTTTCGATGTTGTATTTTAGAATTATTTTGCAGTTTTTAAATCGAGATATTTAAAAGAAATCAAAAAATGAATATGAAAACGGTTCCTTACAATGAATAATAAATAATAATATTTCATATTGTCGCTAAAATGTAAAAATCTGTTCACTCAAACAATTGAAACATTTAACTAATCTAAAAATAATTAATATAAATATTTTTGAAAAATAATCCCAATTGCAAATACTCGTAGGCAATTTTTTCAAATTACTTATTAATTATTTATTTTAGCTGATTATTTATTTACTTAATTATCTGTTTAATGATTAATTATTTCGTTCAATACCTTAACCTAACATGCCCATATTCCATGAAATTCTTTCTTTTCACTGTTCTATTTTATTATTCACAAAATTTTGAATAGGTTGGCATCATTAACAGCATCTTGTTAAAGGTTTTAAAATTATTTAAAATTGACATATTTTTTTTCCTATGCCTTACTTTATCTGTTCCTTCGTTCCCACAGACAAGTTCGGCAGAAAGGTTTTAGTGTACGTATTTACGTTATAAATCTATGTGAAAGCTATAAATTAATTATATTATTGCTTTAAAAGATACTAATTTTATTCACATAAAATTGCATATTGACTCTTCAAAATCGCTTTCTCAAAATTTAACATTTTTACTGTGAATGGTAAATATTGGAACATAATACAGAAAATCCAACATAGTAATACAGTAAAAGAAATGTGTGGAGTCGATGTCAAGAAATCCGCAATGCCCTCACCGGGATTCGAACTCCGGACTTCCGGAATACGCGTCGAGTGTGCTTCCAGTTACACCACGAAAACATGCGGAAAGGAGGGAGAAAGTACCTTATAACGTGCTTACCTTATAACCTTTTTCTTTACCTTATAACCTTTTGTGTACGTTATAAGTACCTTATAAGTACCTTATAACGTTATAAGTACGTTATAAGTACCTTATAACGTACACGAAAAATACTCATATCAGGATCACACCAAATTCTTCAATGCTAAAATCACTTTCTCCAATAAAACTATTGTTTAGTTTCCAAAAACTAAACAATAAACTATTGTTTAAATAAATATTGTTTAGTTATAGTTTATTGTTTACTATTAGTTTATTGTTAACTATTGTTAACTATGTAGTTTATTGTTAACTATTGTTTAGTTATAGTTATTTGTTTAACCAATAAAACTATTGTTTAGTTTTCAAAATGAAAGCTGCATTAATAAAGAGAGAGAAAGATGACAAGAAGCTGCACTAAACACGTACCTTTGCCTCGCACAAAGTGCTAAACCATATAATTGTTAATGTTGTTGTTGACTGATGTTTACTTGTCTGACCTACAATCAGCCCAAGCGCAGAAAATTCCTCGTGGCTGTCATTGACAACATCCTTACAGGTGACAGTGCGACTTAGCTCAGTTCCACCCCCAATTTTGATGGGAGCACCCCAGGGAGACGGGTCCGAGGGTCTCCCAATTCCTCTTCTGCTACCAGCAACCTCTCGAGAGGACTTTTGACTCGTCGCATATTTAGAGAGTCCCCATGCCGCACCGACAATATACATTTACAAACATCCATTCCTTCGCCGGGATTCGAACCCGGGCACTTCGATATGACACTCAGCGGCGCAACCACTATACCGGTTGGACGGTAGTTGTTAACTTAACCTTTTGAAGACGGGATGGCCATTATAGTGACAAAACGAGTTCTCTCTTTGAAAAGACGGGGTTGTCCACTTTAGTGGCCATGTCTTTTTCCCCTATTTTCCAGGCTGAAAAGTGGGGTGAAATGTCAAATTTGACGTCCCTAGGGTTTTAACCACTGATCCCTTTCAAAGGTCTTTTTGCGACATAGATGCACCCCTCTGAGAATCCATTAAACTACACACAAGAATCTTTGTTGCAAATAGGAGGCGATTTCTTAAAGGGGGAAAGCATTCGGTTCAAGATTCCAAATCCTTTAGTAGCTTTCACTGCTACCAAAGCCCCAGTCTCAAAAGGTTAAATTAATATTTACAAGATTTTGCACTGTCATCTGCTAATCGTTTCATTTTAAACAGTCAGCTGTACAACAAAAATGAATAACGTAACAATAATTTTTGCCTATTCAAAAATTTTATGAAGGGCAGAACCTAGAAAGTCTAATGATCTGCACATAAACGGGGAGCTACAGATAAGGCTAAACAATTATTAGTCCAAAGATGTTTTGTCCCTGAAGGACTATTGTTTTCGTTTTGCGATTTTGCGTTGAATCACTATAAATGTCCGTTTCACTTTTCAAACTGTTGCCACCAAATGTTAGAATCCTGCGTTATATTTGAAGAAATTAAATAATGAAAAATCTGCATAAATATATGTACATTTCTCGAATTGCCATAAAAGAACAGTACATAGAGCCATCGAATTTTGAATGACGTAATCCTACTACGAATATGGGCACGTGGAAAAAACAATTTGAAATTTGGAATTTGTTTTATTATCGATTTCATATTTTCTAAAACTTTAACTAATTTTTAAGTAACAAACTCAACGATTTAAAAGCGAGCCATGGCAACACTCTAAGAAAAAAAACGACCTTTTTATCTCCACTTTGGGCGCGGAACTGTGTATCGGAAATTCTAAAGATAGGCTCATTTTAAAATTATTTTGCGACTTTGCTATTGAACTGAATTTTATGGTTTAAGTTGTAGAGCTCCAATTCTAAGTTAATGTTGGAAGTGAAGAATCTAAGAACTGATAAGCGAATAATCGCTTGAGTTCAGTGGCAAGAAACAACAAGATAGAAGGGTTAACTAACCCTTTATTATTCCAATAAGATTTAACAAAACTCCGCCTGGGAGTTTACAAGCAAAGCCCGCACTTGGACTTGAACTTAAGAGACTAAGAATTAAACTAAAACTAAGATTAACTAAAGAAGTATAGCCGAAGCTATCAAGGTTCAAATCGAGTTGGCCCCTTAACTTATTTGACTACGAAGCTTAGCAAGGGCTTGAGAGAGAGAGTGGCCAAAAAGGCAGAGGCGCGTAAATCAGAAACTCTGATTCTCTCTAACTCAGTTAGACTCTATAATTGACCGAGCTATTGCGAAGAGCAATGTTGCCGGTTCCAGAATTAAAACCCAAGGCCACTTGACATAAAGAAATCCAGATGTGGAGAAAATCTCAGATGAGAAAAGGAAGATAAGGGGAAGAAGAGAAGTACCAAAAGGAGCAAGACAATCCAATCGGAAAAGTTTGCAAAACGAGACGAGCGATCATAGCTTTCAAGGAGGACCCAAGACAATGGAAATCAATGACAACAATATGAGAAGATACACTACAGCAATAGTTCCACTGACAAATTCAGGTACAATTAAACAACCTCAATCAGTAGTGCTAAATACAACACAATACAAAACAACTATACAACACAATTTAAATACAACTATTCAACGCAATACACTACAGCAACTCAACAACAACCTAAGCAACCTGTTTACAACACTATATCATCACAATGCGAAAAATCTCACAGCATTAGTTTTATCAATCTCCAAGAATAATATTCAAGCAACAGAAGAACTTCAATCAAAATCAGATGCATTGGAAGTATAAACAGCTACCAATTGAGGATCTAAGTGAAAAAGTTGTCGTCTCCTCTCATGTAGGTGTGAGCTGCAAGTGGTTTGACGCTTCTATCTTCGAAGAGAATTTCATAATTAAAGACTTAAGAGTAATTAACAAAGTCACATTGCACAACTTTGTTGAAGAATTTTTCATTAGATCTTCTGATGTAATCTGGAATGGTCTCAAGTTTTAAGTCTCTGTGTAAAGTTTATTGCCGATAAGATAGTGTGAATCAGTAATAATGCGCAGAAATTTGTTTTGCACTACTTGTATTTGATGCAGTTGAGTTTGAGTGATCGTGTTCCAAGCAGAAGCAGCATAACAAAGTATCGGTCGAATGCAAGAGGTATATATATTCTGACTGAGTAAGTAACTTCGTGGTTTAAATAATACCGCTCCTCCTCATTAAATATTCAGCAAGATTCCAAACTACGTCCTGGCCGGAAGTAGTAAGTTGAAGTTAAGAATTTGACAGGAAAGGAACTTTAACTTAAAATTTAACTGTTAATAAAATTAACATAATCCTTACAAAATGCAAAGACCATGATATTTAATAAATAAAGGTAGCACGCAAAACGTTACAAAAACGCCCCTTTGGACGTAATTTAAAATCTGAAACCTTTCAGATTTTTTGTTATTTTTTGTTATTTTTTTTTTTTTTTAATCTATTTTTTATCGTACTTTTTTTTTTCAAGTTACGAAACAGCTTGCTCTAGCTTAATAAAATCGGACTTTCGACTCTAAGACCTCGTATTCCTTAGGCCGAAAAACGTGCCACATGACGGCGCACAAGAGCAGGAGAGATGATGCTAAAGAGAGGTGAGCACGAAATACCGACCACAAATTAGTATATTATCATTTCATCAAAATATCAACAAATACATCTAGGAATTTTCATAATTTTTTTTAAAGCTTTCGAGTTTCTAAAGCATTAGAACTTCTGCGATGATTCTTCAACAACTACATCTACGAATTTTCGCAAAACTTCTCCAGAATGCACGCGTTTCCGAAACCTCAAAACTTCTTGGATGATTCGCCTGATTAAATTTTAACATTTTTGAAAACAAATTTTAATTACCGTAGACGATTTTTAAATTAAACTAACTGAATAAATAAATAATATGCCTGATTGCTACAGGTATTCCATCTCTTCCTGGAGATGCTTCGGATATGATAGTCCGCACGGTTATACGGGAATTCCTTACCTAGTGGAAGCTATGACGTCAGTGCCCATCTGCCGTTCTCTGGTGATTTCACCTCTGGAGGTGGCGTGGGACGAGTGGGTGGCGGTAGTCGTCATGGAAACGCCACCGGTGATGACGCTGTTGTGGTGGGAGGAATTGAGGGTCATGAAGGGGAGAGGCGAGAGATGACTTGTCGTGCCTGGATGACCGTAACCGTTGGGCAGCATGTGCTTGTCTAACCTTTCACCTATAAAACAAGCTTAGTTTTAATATTAATAATACATTTTAATCATAACACTAGTTTGTAATTACTATCTGTAGGAGTTATTTCTTCTACTGTCTCTGTTTGTAATTACTTTTCCATTGTCTTTCACGAAAATTTCTCATAGAATTCTTGCACAAATCTCTATAGAATATCTACACATATTTATACAGAATCCCTGCATACAACTATAAAAAGCTGCATCTAAAATTTTATAGAATTCTATGAAAGATCTCTGACTCAGCTTACAGAAAATTGCGCCGTAATTCTATAGATGTCTATAGAACTTTAAAAGGTATCTGCCTACGTTAAAAAAACGATTTCGGCGAAAACATTCGATTTTTTTAATTGCCCGGTTTGAAAGGTCAGTTTTGTAGGATTCCGAAAATGGTTCATTTTTACGTTTGTGATAATTATATTCGATATAAAAATCCAATGATAAAGTTCTATAGAAATCTATAGAATTACGGCGCAATAATCCAATGAGGTATCTGCCTACGTTCGGAGCACTTTTTTTTTTTTTTTTTTTTTCAAAACATAGAATTTTGATGAAATATCTATTTATTTAGTCAAAATATGATATCAAATCATGAAAATAGGTAAATTTTTAGGAATATTTTCATAAATTTTTGAAATATATGCAATTTATGCACATTTTTAGGAGAATTTAACACTTACGTTAAATGTCGTATATTTTTTCCCACAGCATATATTTCAGTTTTATTTATACTGTATACTACTACAACACTCATCTGTGTTATGAACTAAAATGTTTATGATATTTCTAAAATTTACTAAAATATTTGTAATTACATGAAAAAAAACAGTTTTTTGTAAAATATTTCTTATCGTTTTATATAGAAATACTTATAAAACAATCAAATTAATAAATATAATTTAGATTGCAGCTTAAAACCTAGTAAATAATATAGAAAACACTTTAGTGAAATTTAATAGAAATACCTTTAGAACATGTTGAGTAATTACATTTCTTGTATGTAAAAACACTAGAAAAATTAATTTTCCAGAAAACGCATTTAAAGATTTCACATTAACAGAAAAACTGTTCTGTTGTATTTACACACTTAAAATTCTCCACATTTGTACATCACACCCTCCCTATCTTTATACTTAAGTAATTTTGATTTCCTATTTGATTTTAATTTTTTTTGGCTATTTTCGAAATGAACGACGAATGACGTTTCGAGTTCTTTATTCTTTCGTTATCAATTCCAAAGTAATTTTTAATCATTTCTTGTTCAATTGATATGCCTAAATGTTCAAACACAGGAAGTAATCTAAGATACCCTGAATTAAAAATTAAAACTGCTATAGTATATGCACCCAGCAACATAGTCTTTATACCTAATCGCAATGTTGCCACACCCAGTTCAAAAAACCGCAATGTTGCCAGTCCCAGTTCAAAAAATTAAGGCAAATAATTATTGCCAGAAACAGAAAAAAAGTACCCAGAATTAAAATGAAATGTTTTAGCACAATTTTACACACAAACAGGTAAAAAAAACAGGGATAACAACATTGTTTACCTTTAAGTTGAGCCTTTTTAATGACACTTCCGGTCTTTCTACTTTCACTTCCAGTGGAGTCAATTGGCTATATCTTCTCTTCTAATTATCACAAACGTAAAAATGAACCATTTTCGGAATCCTACAAAACTGACCTTTCAAACTGGGCAATTAAAAAAATCGAATTTTTTGGCCGAAATCGTTTTTTTTAACGTAGGCAGATACCTTGTAAAGTTCTATAGACATCTATAGAATTACGGCGCAATTTTCTGTAAGCTAAGTCAGAAACCTTTCATAGAATTCTATAAAATTTTAGACGCAGCTTTTTATAGTTATATGTAGGGATTCTGTATAAATATATGTAGATATTCTATAGAGATTTGTGCAAGAATTCTATACAAATCTGCACAGTTACTTTGAATCAACTATCGCAACACCGTGCATTGAATCAACTATTAGAATTCTATTGAAAATATCAGATACAATTTATAATATATTAGATACAATAGAAAATTGCACTATAATTCTAAAGAATTCTTAACAAGATTCCCTTAATTTTTTATAAAGGATCCTGTGAATTCTTTTGAGTATTTAAAATCGCCAAAATTTTCTTTTGGGATTAAAAAGAATGAAATAAATTCTCTTTACCGAATACAATTTTTTTTAATTTAAACGATTAAAGGATTTATGACATTGCGGAAAGGATAAAAACTTTCAGAATATTGATTTTTTCCCCTAATAAAAAAATTCAATTTCATTTTCATTAAAAAAAAATGTTTAAAAAAAATAAAACATTTTAAGCAACAGTAAAATTTAATAAAAATGAAGAAACCATTTCTGTTGTCAAAGTTACATGTACTATAATCAAAAGTATTAATTTCAGGAACTAAAATTTCATAATTAACATCAATAAATTTAATCTCTAAATGAATTTTAGAATTTAAATTGATTTTATGATTTTATAAGATTTAATTTTTATATTATATAAGCAATACTCTACAACAAATTGCACAAAATGCCACATAAATTTAGAAGCCTAAAAAACAAAAATTTCCATTTAAATGATTAAAAACCTATGAAAAATAAGGCATTTATTTTTGGTCTTCTGTATCCTATACAGTACATCCCAAGCTGAAAATTTAATCTGTAAAATGCTATTCTATAAAGGTTTATTAAATTTTTATGAAATCTTGAAAACCTGCATTTCTATAGAAACTGGTCCTGTGAAAGCTTTATAAAATTTCTATAGAATTTTATAGAGCGATATTTCTATAGAGATTAGCTATAAAGTTCTAAAGGAATTTCAATAGAGCTCTGCCAGATTCCATAAAAAATTGCGTTAAGGAATTTCTGAATATCTACCAACCACGGTACTATATTTCGATAATTGTGGTATTGAAATTGTTGTTATATAGTATAAACTTGTGATTATAAAAATTTCAGTGATTATTTATCATGGCGTGGTTATATTTCCAGTATCACTGAATACACTTAACTTCCCAATAGTCAGTATAATATCTCTGGGCGGCCAGTGTTTTCCCTAAGAAAACACAAATTTCCCAAAACTACTAGGCTCACCAGCGGCCGAGCGGTAAAGTCGCTGAACACTGGTAGTTCGGTCCGAGGTTCGATCCCGCGAACGGGCTGGCTGCATAGGCGTTTTCGTGGTTTTCCTCATGTGTAACGTGTATACGAGCCAGTTTCCCGTAGAAAGTCCTACACGAAAGGCATCCTTCCCCTTAGGCAGATAGCCCTCGTGTGCTTTGCCATAATTAAATACACCAACCCAAAACTACTATGAGAAAATTTTTTTTTTTTTTTAATGCAAAAACTCTACTGGTATTTCATACCTGGATTTGTTTTCTTTTCATATATAGCCTTAATTTCGTTGACATATTTTAATATGCACATATATATACGTTCTTACAGATATCACAATAAATATTCTAGGCCGCATACATACGGCCTTGCCGCTTAGAGGGTTAAGATTAGATGGCCCTAGGTACCGTCTTTTCACAGTGCGAGGAACATGCATACATACATGCATGCAGCTTCTTCTTAAATTAATTTCCTTAAAAGTAATACAGCGCGATAATATTTGATGCCAACAATTTGAAATGCGATATGTCGTTTGTAGTAAACCGACGCAAAATCCCATTTCGAGACTTAAATACCCCCTTTTGAGCTAAAAAATGCTTATTATAATTAACAGAGAAATATTATTAACAATTTACTTGCATGTTTTAGCATTTGAAATCTACAAACCAAATTCATTAATTAATTATATTAAATTAAATTAGTATTCAGAATAAAACAACCACACATAAACAACGAAAGACTACGTATGGGAAAACTAAGCTATAAAATCTTATCAAAGAACAATACTTACAAATGAACTTGAACAATGTCAATGAGTTCAAACTTATGTTACAAAAGTCAGCTATAACTGTTTCTTTACTGTTATATTTAATGTTTGTACAATGTAGATTATATGCAATTAAATTAGAGTATGGAAGATTAAAACACAATTATCTTCGTGAGCTTTTAATGGCATGATATTTCTTTTTACGTTGTCGAATTCGACGCAGAGATGGCTTGAGAATACTGCGAAAGCTGCAGTAGCCAATTTACGTACGCTTCCTATGTATTTGTAAACACTTCTATGGCAAAAAGCAAGATTTTAGGAAACCGATGGACAATTTGGATAGTGACTTTTTTTTTTCCTTCAACATAGAACTACTCCTACATGAGAATAAAATTTTATTTATATTTCACGCACTATCTTTTTCTCTTATTCTTCTTAAATAGATGGGATGGATGTTACGCTAGGAAATTTTGCATAAATATTCAAAACAAAACAAACAGCCATTGATAGACTCGGTAAAATCTCTAAGCGTGTATGGCTGGAAAGCAAACCTATGGAATCAACAAGACATTCTAGTTTAAACTTTATTACTTTGCTTTAATTTAAAAGGGATTAAAAGTATAAAATTGGGCATGTTATTATTATCCATACCATTCAAAATTATGAATTTAATTCTCACTATAAAAATTAAAAATTGAAAAGTTTTTTTTTAAACCTCAACGAGACATTATTTATTTATTTAAATTAGCAATAAAATATTGTTGGTATTTAAAAATTTGGTATTTAAAAAGCTAATGTTAGTTCAATTATAAATTAAATGGTTTTATTTCTCGCGCAGTGCAGCGCGTGACGAATATTAAAAGAAAGCTAAGCCGGAAAAATTAAAAATACAAGAGCGCGTGCGTTAAATAAATAAATATCTCTTTTTGATTTCGAGAAAGTGCTGGAAAATTCTAGCGCGTGATTTTAAAATCTTATAAAAGGAGGAAAACATCTCAGTTTGTTATAGAGTAGTTCAGTATTATTATTTTGCTCTACGAGTGTGATTCTAAAATTTAGGAAGTGAAGGAAATTTATTTATAAATAGTAAGTGT